CTTGGAGATACTGCAGAAACTAAACAAAATAATAAAGTCTACGATTATTTACTGTCAGTTTCCCTTTAATTGATTTCTGAGCTGATAAGTACGTAGATTTTCGCGTCCGTGGTGGAACTTGAGAAGCGAAATCTAAGCTGCAATTAACAAATCCACAAGGGCCGTGACGAGGATTCGAACCTACGTCCGAGAGCAAGAGCATCTTAAGCTGCAATTCTTTAACTCGGCTCCTGAACCTCAATGGACTTAAGTTGTTGATATCTACCCTCTTGGGGTCTAAGGCTTTAAACTAAATTTTAATACATACAAACGCCTGACTAAACAACTTCTCTCCCCTAGTTCGTTGAGCTTCTTTACTAAATACAAACTGAAGCTCTTCCTAATATCTGTAAGTGTAAGTCACCATCAGAGTGCCCCTCACCCAAGTTCCTGTTGTCAGCCAGGGTGTCTTGGGAGCAGGACAGACCCAGAACCAGCGTCTTGGGTCTCCCCAGGCGTACACATCTCACATATTATATATATTATATATATCACTTCGAATCCATCACTTCGAACAGTGATTGTTATGTGTATGTGTTTTCTGTAAACTGTAACACTATATCACGTTATTTTGTTTTCATTGTGTAGTCAATGTCTACCGTGTTGATACTCCGAGGTGCGTGTGTGTGTCCACCTAACTGTATTCACCTAGTTGTGCTTGCGTAGGGATGAGCTCTGCTTTTTCGACCCGCCTCTCAACTGTCAATCAACTGTGTGTGTGTGTGTGTGTGTGTGTGTGTGTGTGTGTGTGTGTGTGTGTGTGTGTGTGTGTGTGTGCGTGTGTGTGTACTCACCTAATTGTACTCACCTAATTGTGCTTGCGGGGGTTGAGCTTTGGCTCTTTGGTCCCGCCTCTCAACTGTCAATCAACTGGTGTACAGATTCCTGAGCCTACTGGGCTCTATCATATCTACATTTGAAACTGTGTATGGAGTCAGCCTCCACCACATCACTTCCTAGTGCATTCCATTTATTAACTACTCTGACACTGAAAAAATTCTTTCTAACGTCTCTGTGGCTTATCTGGGTACTAAGTTTCCACCTGTGTCCCCTTGTTCGTGTCCCACCCGTGCTGAAGAGTTTGTCTTTGTCCACCCTGTCAATTCCCCTGAGAATTTTGTAGGTGGTTATCATGTCTCCCCTTACTCTTCTGTTTTTCAGGGATGTGAGGTTCAGCTCCTTTAGCCTTTCCTCGTAGCTCAATCCTCTCAGTTCCGGGACGAGCCTGGTGGCATACCGCTGAATCTTCTCTAACTTTGTCTTGTGTTTAACTAGGTATGGACTCCAGGCTGGAGCTGCATACTCCAGGATTGGTCTTACATAAGTGGTATACAGGGTTCTGAAAGATTCCTTACACAAGTTTCTGAAGGCAATTCTTATGTTGGCCAGTCTAGCATATGCCGCTGATGATATTCTTTTGATGTGGGCCTCTGGAGACAGGTTCGGTGTGATATCAACCCCCAGATCCTTCTCTCTATTTGATTCTTGCAGGATTTCCCCTCCCAGATGATACCTTGTGTTCAGCCTCCTGCTCCCTTCGCCTAATTTCATCACCTTACACTTTCCAGAGTTGAACTTCAGCAGCAATTTTCTAGACCATTCCTCCAGTTTATCCAGGTCATCCTGTAGTCTCTGTCTATCTTCATCCGTCTTGATTCTTCTCATAATTTTTGCATCATCAGCAAACATCGAGAGGAATGAGTCTATACCCTCTGGAAGATCGTTCACATATATTAGAAACAGGATGGGTCCAAGTACTGAGCCCTGTGGGACTCCGCTGGTGACATCTCGCCACTCTGATGTCTCCCCCCTCACCGTTACTCGCTGTTTCCTGTTGCTTAAGTACTCCCTTATCCACTGGAGCACCTTCCCTTTTACTCCTGCCTGTTGCTCCAACTTTTTTAACAGCCTTTTATGGGGTACTGTGTCAAAGGCTTTTTGGCAATCCAGGAAAATGCAGTCGGCATTTTCCCTTCCCACCCTTCTCTTTCCTGCCTAATTTTCGTTGCCTGGTCATAAAATTCTATTAAACCTGTGAGGCACGATTTACCATCTCTGAACCCATGTTGGTGGTGCGTTACAAAGTTATTTCCCTCCAAATGCTCTACGAGCCTTTTCCTCACGATCTTCTCCAGCACCTTGCATGGTATACAAGTTAAGGAAACTGGCCTGTAATTCAGTGCCTCTTGCCTGTCACCCTTTTTGTATATTGGGACCACGTTAGCTGTCTTCCAACTTTCTGGTAAGTCTCCTGTTTCCAGTGACCTGTTATACACCATAGAGAGTGGCACACTTAGTGCTTCTGCACCTTCCTTTAGTATCCATGGTGAGATTCTATCAGGCCCAACAGCCTTTGTCACATCTAGCTCCAGCAGACACCTTTTGACCTCATCACTGGTGAGGTCAAATTCCTCCAAGGTTGCTTGGTTTGCCGCCTCCTCATTTAGTGCAGGGGCTTCTCCTTGTTCTATTGTGAAGACCTCCTGGAATCTCTTGTTGAGTTCTTCACACACCTCCTTGTCATTCTCTGTGTATCTGTTCTCCCCTTTCCGCAGCTTCATCACTTGTTCCTTCACTGCTGTTTTCCTCCTGATATGGCTGTGGAGCAGCTTTGGTTGGGTCTTGGCTTTACTCGCGATGTCATTTTCAAACTGTCTCTCTGCTTCCCTCCTCACTCTGATGTACTCATTTCTGGCCCTCTCGTATCTCTCCCTGCTCTCTGGTGTTCTGTTATTTCTGTAGTTTCTCCATGTTCTTTTACTCAGTTGTTTCGCTACCTTACATTCCTGGTTGAACCATGGGTTTTTCTGTTTTTCGTTTTTCTCCTTTTGGACGGGGATAAACCTGTCTGCAGCTTCCTGGCACTTTTGGGTGACAATATCCATCATGACCTGCACATTCTTGTCTCTTAAGTTCTGTTTCCCATGGTATTCCCCTGAGGAAGTTCCTCATCTCGTCATATTTTCCTCTTCGGTAATTCAGTCTTTTCCCCTCCACTCCCATCCTTGGATAGGTTATCCCTACCTCCACCAAGTACTCAAAGGTCAGTACACTGTGTGTGTGTGTGTGTGTGTGTGTGTGTGTGTGTGTGTGTGTGTGTGTGTGTGTGTGTGTGTGTGTGTGTGTGCGCGCGTGCGTGCGCGCGTGCGTGCGCGCGTGCCCGCCCCCCAGTAGTTTGTAAGCTTGGTGCACGCGCGTGCCCGTGGTTGTTCTAGTAGACTCGTGTGTCCCCGGATTGCCACCACATCAGGGCGAGTGAAGTGCCCTGTCACTCGACAGTCACTGCCTCGGTCACTCGACAGTCACTGCCTCGGTCACTCGACAGTCACTGCCTCGGTCACTCGACAGTCACTGCCTCGGCGGTCACTCGACAGTCACTGCCTCGGCGGTCACTCGACAGTCACTGCCTCGGCGGTCACTCGACAGTCACTGCCTCGGCGGTCACTCGACAGTCACTGCCTCGGCGGTCACTCGACAGTCACTGCCTCGGCGGTCACTCGACAGTCACTGCCTCGGCGGTCACTCGACAGTCACTGCCTCGGCGGTCACTCGACAGTCACTGCCTCGGCGGTCACTCGACAGTCACTGCCTCGGTCACTCGACAGTCACTGCCTCGGCGGTCACTCGGCAGTCACTGCCTCGGCGGTCACTCGGCAGTCACTGCCTCGGCGGTCACTCGACAGTCACTGCCTCGGCGGTCACTCGACAGTCACTGCCTCGGCGGTCACTCGACAGTCACTGCCTCGGCGGTCACTCGACAGTCACTGCCTCGGCGGTCACTCGACAGTCACTGCCTCGGCGGTCACTCGACAGTCACTGCCTCGGCGGTCACTCGACAGTCACTGCCTCGGCGGTCACTCGACAGTCACTGCCTCGGTCACTCGACAGTCACTGGAACTCAGTCCTGAAGCATACTGCAAGATCTGGCCTTCAGGAATATCTCAAAGCTCAACTTACAACAACATCAGGACACTTACAAGATCTGGACTTTCCTGGAGAATCTTTATTCTCTCCTAGAAGAACAGGACTCTCCTAACGGATAAGAACTGCTAAAAAAAAGTCTTAAGAATCAATACTATCCTCGAGAGGCTGAACTTTCGCCTGTAGGACACTCTTGAAGGCTTTTAACTCTCCTGAAGTGTATGACTCTCTCCTAAGGAATTTGGACTTTTGTGGAGAATACCAATTCTCTCCTGGAGGATCTAAGTCTTCCCTCTCGGTGCCAAAAAGACTTCGTAAGTACTTTCCTGCGGCCGGCGATATCAGTGATCTAGGTATTTAAGTCATATTCAGACAGTCAAATATTTTTTCCCCACAGACCGACAAGCAGGTCCGGACTCTACACACACACACACACACACACACACACACACACACACACACACACACACACACACACACACACACACACACACACACACACACACACACACACACACACTAAAATTATCTTGCATGGGAAGTTTTTTTTTAATTATCAGGGGAGAGCGCTAAGACATTACGACTTTATAACCCTTAGAAGGGGGGTCAGGATAAGGATTTAGGATGGGACGGGGAAGGGGGGGGGGGGAAGGAATGGTGCCCAACCACTTGGATGGTCGGGGATTGAACGCCGACCTGCATGAAGCGAGACCCGTCGCTCTACCGTCCAGTCAAAGTGACTCGAAAGACCTGCTGAAAACCACCCCAACGTTGTTGTTTAAGATTCAGCAACTGGGAACAAAAAGTTGCAAGTAGCACGGGCTATGGTGAGCCCGTAGTGGACTTACCCGGCACAGGAGCGGGGCAAGTAGCACGGGCTATGGTGAGCCCGTAGTGGACTTACCTGGCACAGGAGCGGAGCTGTAACTTAGACCCCAACTGTTGTTGTTGTTAAAGATTTAGCTACTCAGGACGAAGTGTCCATGTAGCACGGGCTATGGTGAGCCCGTAAAGACCTCAACTGTGGCGTGGACTCTTACCTTCGACGAGAGAGGTGAGGAGGGTGACGTTGGCAGCCTTCCTCCGCCCCGCCGGCAGGTTGAGGCCGATCTTCTCCAACTTGTCCCGAAGGATGCGTCCGCCGTTCTTGCTTTTGGCTCTGTGACGAAGAGATGAAGTCGACTGTTAGTAATGGCGCTGAAGTCTGCGTGTTAGTGATGGCGCTGACGCTAAGGTAGAAGTAGTATTATCATCATTTCGTTTGTAATAAGATTGAAACAAAATATTTAATAAAACTGACGTTAATATTCTGTCAGTGCTACGACAAGTCTTATTCATACTCTTCAATTAACAAAAAAATACAAAAAAAATTAATATAAAAACTGGAGTGCTCTTATAAAACACACACACAATCTTTTTATGCAACTATGACAATGACACGACTTTGTTCAACTTTAATTAATGAGCGAAAATAGATTTTTTTTTTTTTTAGAAGAGGTGGTACGAGAGGCAGATTAGAGCCATGTATGAGCGGCCAGTCACCGCGGGAATGTGTCTCGGCCGCCCCGTGTCCTTGGTGGCTCCTCTAACTCAACAAACCTGGCGCTGCTGTTCTCCCTCTCAGAGTGTGCCCGGGCCTGCACTCGGGAAGAGTTCTCCTCGTGCCTGAAAATGTGACTTTAATATACTGAACTCTCTCACTGTAACTTACCCTCTTGATAACAGCATCTGACTTCTACACACACTCGTACGTACACAAACCACGTTTACGTACACTACGTATACTATGTATACTACGTACACACACAGCGTACGACACTAGAAGACGGAAGAATAAGTGGGAGACATTATCACTACCTACAAAATTCTCAGGAAAATTGACAGGGTAGATAAAGATAAACTGTTTAACACGGGTGGTACACGAACAAGGAAACACAGGTGGAAATGTAGGACCCAAATGAGCCAAAGAGACATTAAAAAGATTTTGCTTTTAGTGTTGGAGTAGTTAACGCATGGAATGCATTAGGCAGTGATGTGGTGGAGGCTTTTGATACACAGTTTCAAAAGTAGATTTGATAGGCCCAGTAGGCTCCAGAATATGTACACCACTTGAGTGACAGTTGAGAGGCGGGACCAAATAGCCGAGGCTCAATCCCCGCAAGCACAAATAGGAGAGTACAACTAGGTGAGTACACACACTACAGTGATAACGAAGGGAGAATAAGGATGGGTAAATTTTGTCTCCCCTGATTGACTGAAAATTTGATCAAAAGTTCCAAAGAGGAGACTGTTTACAAACTGGAGAACCAAGCCGGGATAACCGGAATGTGCTGTATTGGACTAGAGAGCAGCAGCACACCTTGGATGGAAAACGGAGAGGCAAGTCCTGATGTGATGCTTCAAGTTTACCATCACAAAAATGATTGACAGTTGATGTCAGCCATATCACTCCCTATAGGACACACGAGATTATTTCGCGTGTCTTTAAGTTGTGAGGCTACGAGACTTGCAACTTTTCTGACGCTACTGAAGGCGTGAGCAACTAAAAAAAAATACGTTAGTTAGAAAATCGTGTCTAGCTAGCGTGCATAATACAATCAACAATCAGATAGCAGAGAATGGAAACCATTTCGGTAGAGATATGGCAGTCACAGTCAAGATGGTGGCAGCAGCCCATAGGCAGTAGAAAGGAGGGAAGCCATTGCAGAGTAGGAGGGGGATGGTAGCCTTGGTCGAGACGCAGCCCTTCAGGACGGTACAACCCTTGGCGAGAAGGCGGCCCTTGGCGAGAAGGCGGCCCTTTGGCGAGAAGGCGGCCCTTGGCGAGCAGGGGCCTGGTCTCCACGGGAGCTCGGCCAGAGCATGAGACCACAGATTCTTGGCGCCATTGTCTCCATCCTGCTTGTATATGCGCCCTCTACCCCAGCCTCATTCCCGCCTCGCCTCTTTGTGCCTCCTAAATTAACTACGGCCTTTTCGTGGTCTTTGTGCCTCGTAAATGCACGGGAGATTAATGATAGTGAAGCTTCTGCCGTCCCAGGCGTGGTCCGAAGTGCCTCCATCATCATCTACTGGACTCTGCCGTCTGTGGTACCTGCCATCCCTCTCTGACTTGTTCAGGGAGAACTTGCAGCTAATAGAACATAGTGACCCGTCTGGGATGGACTCGGGGTAAAGGCCGACTCAGACACGGCCGACAAAGGCAGTTTCTAAAATATATATATCTGGTATAACCATGTAAATTAAACTTCATGTAGGAAAACGTAACGGGATAGGGGCAGTTTAGGTAGAACAGGAAGAAATGGGAAGGAAAGAAAGGGAGGAAGGGAGGGGGGGGAGAGAGAGAGGGGTGAGAGAAGATAAGGGGAGGAGTGGGGGGGGGGACGTTCATGCAAGGTGCTTCTTCCTGATTATTGGCGGGAAGAAGCAGAGGCGTCCTGACCAGCTTACAGGTGGTGGTCAGGAGGGGCTCACTCGCAGGGCGAAGATAGCCATGTTGCATGCCGGAGCAGCTGCGTCAGGAGACTCAAGATTGGTTGACCGCTCGTCTTTTTCCCGCACACCTTCCGTCAAGGCTTCATCCCCGCCAGCCCCCCTTCCCCTCCAAGCCCTCGCCCCTCTACCACACACACCAACCGGATATCACCAGCTACATATGCAAGGTTGACAGGCATTAAAACCAGCTCCAGAAATCTGAACAGAGGGGCTGTGCATCTCCCTCGCTTCCCCAACGCATTCTACGTCACCAGTTGCCCTCCCACACACACCCCACGGTAATGGACAGCCACCCACTGTGGGAGTCACGGGCCATTTGCAGACATCATGGCACCCCGGCGGGCCAAGTGCCACCACAGTGGTCACCTGGTGGGCAGAAAGGTCATTAACCGGTTTCATGCTTTGCCTGGTGAGAGACTTGTGGTGAGTGTGGAGGAGCCTGGTGAGAGACGTGTGGTGAGTGTGGAGGAGCCTGGTGAGAGACGTGTGGTGAGTGTGGAGGAGCCTGGTGAGAGACGTGTGGTGAGTGTGGAGGAGCCTGGTGAGAGACGTGTGGTGAGTGTGGAGGAGCCTGGTGAGAGACGTGTGGTGAGTGTGGAGGAGCCTGGTGAGAGACGTGTGGTGAGTGTGGAGGAGCCTGGTGAGAGACGTGTGGTGAGTGTGGAGGAGCCTGGTGAGAGACGTGTGGTGAGTGTGGAGGAGCCTGGTGAGAGACGTGTGGTGAGTGTGGAGGAGCCTGGTGAGACGTGTGGTGAGTGTGGAGGAGCCTGGTGAGACGTGTGGTGAGTGTGGAGGAGCCTGGTGAGAGACGTGTGGTGAGTGTGGAGGAGCCTGGTGAGAGACGTGTGGTGAGTGTGGAGGAGCCTGGTGAGAGACGTGTGGTGAGTGTGGAGGAGCCTGGTGAGAGACGTGTGGTGAGTGTGGAGGAGCCTGGTGAGAGACGTGTGGTGAGTGTGGAGGAGCCTGGTGAGAGACGTGTGGCGAGTGTGGAGGAGCCTGGTGAGAGACGTGTGGTGAGTGTGGAGGAGCCTGGTGAGAGACGTGTGGTGAGTGTGGAGGAGCCTGGTGAGAGACGTGTGGTGAGTGTGGAGGAGCCAGGTGAGAGACGTGTGGTGAGTGTGGAGGAGCCTGGTGAGAGACGTGTGGTGAGTGTGGAGGAGCCTGGTGAGAGACGTGTGGTGAGTGTGGAGGAGCCTGGTGAGGACGAGAGGTGAGAGCAGAGAACACCACCCAGCCAAGAGACGAAGAAAGACCAGGAGAAAAGAATGAAATGCAAATAGTGAAAGAAGATTATTATGAAAGCTGAAAGAAAGCAGAGTGTATAGCAGGAGAAAACTGGCAGAGAGAACAGGAAGGGAGAAGTGAGAGAGAGATAAGCCCAAGGAAGGTCAATGGTAGAGAAGGGTGAGAGAGGAGAAAGAGGTTAAAAATTGATGCGTGGGAGAGCGAGAAATAATTGGTGAGACAAGGGGGAAGGAAGAAGAGAGGAGAGAGGAGGGAGGGAAAAAAGAGAGGGAGAAGAGGAAGGAGAGAGAGAGAGAGAGAAGGTGTACATAGCGAGGGGAAGGCGCAAAGACTGGTCGGGGGTGAAAAATGAAGGGCAATAAGCGGAAGGACGAGCCACGAGGGATGGTGGAGGTGTGGGGGCGAGACGAGCGACTAAGGCAGGTGATGTGACGCACAGGTGATGTGACGCGCAGGAGCGACGCGCAGGAGTGACGCACAGGCGTGAAACGCAAGAGTAACAAGTGCAGACGACGGTCTAAAATTGGCACGCTGCTCAGGCGACAGAAAACGGCGCCTGAAATTCCCGCTCAATATAAAGAAGTTGTGGAGAGGCCGCCCGGACGCTCTTCAACGCCCCTATACATAATGGGGGTAACTAGACGGCCACTCTCGCGAGGGAGCGTCAATACGTGATCAACTGGACTGTAATCCAGGCGCCAGATTGCGAGGGTATGAGTTTGGTTGGCCAGACTACCAAGAGGCCTGGTCAGAGATCGGGCCGTTGGGACATTGATCCTCGGAACCGCCGTACGGAAAGAGTCGTATAGGAGTGACAAGTGTCGACATGTCCAAGACAGGGGAGAAATGGAATATTTCAAAGTTAAGAATATAGAATGGAAATAAAGATTTGGCATATGGGAAAAAAGAGGCTGTGACGCGTGAGACCGAAGATACGGCCTGGGCCACAGAGGCAATGATTGATTGATGAAGATTAAGCCACCCAAAAGGTGGCACGGGCATGAATAGCCCGTAAGTGGTGGCCCTTTTGAGCCATAACCAGTATCAAGAGCTGGTACTGGAGATCTGTGGAGGTGCGACTGCACCCTGCGAGACGGGAGATGTCTTCCTTTCAATGTGTAGAGGCAATGGTAGGCAACTCATTTTTAAAGGGTGCAAAGGGGCCCGACCCGTCCATGTTGGCCACATACCCCTCATTAGCCACCCTGCAAAATAGGATGAAACTACCCGTCATAAACATCTGGTCTCCAACCTGTGATAGACTAACGACATACATGCTCACTTATAGATACAAGTGGATGGGTGGATGATGTACCGATGGTTGGCTGAACTGCTTAAGGCTAGAAAGTTGAGGCGCTACAAGTGTAGGACAAGATACTGAAGGATAACTTCTTGACAAGGTATGTCAATAGACTGGCG